AGATTGGAAAAATAGAAAACAAGTAACAAGGGAGTAGAATTAAATCCAAAAATATTAATAACAAGATTAAATGTAAATGGTAAAACACTCCAATTAAAAGGTAGACTCTGTCAGCCTGAATAAAAAAGCAACACCCAACTATACACTGTCTACTGTAAACCTAATTTAAATACAAAGATACAAACAGGATAAAATTTAAAGGATGGAAAAACATAAACATGTAAACATTAATCATAAGAAAGCAGAGTAGCCATATTAATATCAGGAAAAGTAGAGTTCAGAACAAGAAATACTTCCTGGAGTTAAAAAGGGACATTTCAAGGAGCATTATCAACAATAGCCAAACTATGGAAAGAGCCCAAGTGCCCATCAACTGATGAATGGATAAAGACGATCTCACTCACACACACACACACACACACACACACACACACACACAAACAATGGAATATCACTCAGCCATCGAGAAGAATGAAATGTTGCCATTTGCAACGATGTAGCTAGAACCAGAGTGTATTATACTAAACGAAATAAGTCAGAGAAAGACAAATAACATGATTTCACTCATATGTGGAATTTAAGAAACAAGAACGCGTGTATTATACTAAGCAAAATAAATCAGTCAGAGAAAGACAAATAACATGATTTCACTCATATGTGGAATTTAAGAAACAAAACAGAAGAACATATGGGAGGTGGGAAAAGAGAGAGGACAACAAACCATAAGAGACTCTTAACAATAGAGAACAGACCTAGGGTTGATGGAGGAAGGTGGGCAGGAAATGGGCTAGTGGGTGATGTGTATTAAGGTGGGCACTTGTTATGATGAGCATGGGTTGTTGTGATGAACCACTGAATTCTACTCCTGAAACCAGTATTACTCTGTATGTTAACTAACTAGAATTTAAATAAAATCTGGGGAAAAAAGGGACATTATAATGATAAAGGGGTCATTCAATCAAAAACATTATAAAGTGTAAACATTTAATAACAGAGCTTTAAGATAAAATGGAGCAAAAACTGACAACATTGAAGGAAGACACATTCACGACTATGGTTGGAAATTACAGCACCCTTCTCTCAGCAACTGATAGAAAAAAATCAGTAAGGATACAGAAAAATTGAACAACATTATCAACCAACTTGACCCGACTGACATTTACAGAGCATTCCACCCCGTAAAAAAAGAGTATATTCTTTTCAATACCATATAGAACATTCACTAGACAAATTGAATTATGGGCCATAACACAAGTCTCAACAATTTAAAATAACTGAAATTATACACAGTATGACCAAAATAAAACAGAAATGAGAAATCAGTAACAGAAAGATACCTGGAAAATATTATGAATATTTGGAAATTTAAACCCGTACTTCTAAATAACACATGGGCCAAAGAAGAAATCACAAGGGAAATTGGAAAATATTTCAAACTATATGAAATCAACACAACATATGAAAATTTGTGGAATGTAGCCAAAACTTAGGAAAATCTACAGCATTAAATGTTTATATGAAAAAAAGGGAAACAATATCAAGTAACTCATCTAAAGTCCCACTGCAAAAAGTATTAAAAAACATAAACGCAAAGTAGAAAGAAATAATAAAGATGAGCAGAAATTAGTGAAATAGTAAACAAATGGACAATAGATAGTATCAATTGCATCCAAAGCTATTTACTTGAAAAAACCAATAAAATTGGTAAGCTTCCAGCTTCACTAGCATTTTACAAATTATTAACATCAGGAATGACCTATGGTACATCTATAGAGTTCACATATAGAAAAAGGATATAAGGAAATATGAAAAAATCAAGTGAATACATTTGACAAATTAGATAAAATGGATTTCTTCAAAGATCACAAATTTCTAAAACTAAATAAAAAATAAATAGGAAGCTTCACTAGTCTTTTAGCAATTAAATAAATTAAATTCATAGTTTGAAACCTTCCCACAAAGAAAACTTCAGGCCCAGATAGCCTCATTAACTAAATTCTATCAAACATTTATAGAGGAACTAACACTTGTTTTTCAAACTCTTCCAAAAAATGTAAGGTTAATATAACCCTAATACTGAAACCATACTAAAACACTGAGGAGAAATAACAAATCACCTATGAAGCTAAATGTAAAATACTTAACAAAATATTAGCAAATTGAAACCAGCATCACATAAAATAGGTAATAGATCATTACCAAGTAGGATTTATCCTGGGAATGCAATATTGACTTAACATTCAAAAACAGAAATTGATATAATCACCATATTAAAAGAATAAATGGGGAATGACATAATCATGTCAAAAGATGCAAGAAAGATAGCATTTGATGAAATTCAAAACCCATTCATTATAAAAATTCTCAGAAAATGTAATTAAAGGAAATTTCCTCAACTTGATAAAATATATCTATAAAAAGTCTACAACTAACATCATCCCAAATGGTAAATGACCGAATGTTCTGCCTCTAAGAACTGGAAGAAGGCAAGAATATCCAGTGTAATCCTATTTAATCGGCACTGTATAGAAGGTCTTAGACAATGCAATAAGACAAGAAAAAAAGTCACACTGATTGGAAGGGAAAAGTAAAACTCTTTATTCTCAGACAATATGATTGTGTATGTAGAAAAAAATCCTAAAAAAATCAAAGCTATCAGAATAAGTCAATATAACAAAGTCACAAGATAGAAGGTCAAGGTGGATAAACAAAAATAAGTGTATTCCTATATGCTAGCAATAGGAAATAGTGGTAAAATAGTGGTATTTTTAAAATACCACTTACAATAGCATCAAAACCCACAAATATTTAGGGATAAATTAATTAACATATGTGCAAGATTTGTACAACAAATATTACAAAATATTACTGATATAAATTAAAGACTAACTAAATAAATGAAGAGAGATACCATGTTCATGGCCTGAAAAGACTCAATTTTATTAAGATACCAATTCTTTTAAAACCAATCAGAATTCCAATCAAAATATCTTTTTGTAGAAATTGGCAAGGTTATTCTGAAATTTACACAGACATGTAAATGACAGTGTAGCCAAAATAATCTTGAAAGAAAAAACAACAGCAATTTGAGAACTTATGCTACCCAAATTCAATACGTATTATAAAGCTATAATAATCAAAAGAGTGTGCTACTGGTGTAAGGAAAAACATTCAGATACTACTGAAGAGAGGGTCCAGAAATAGACACACATTTATGACCTATTTTTTTTATAAAGGTGTCAAGGAAATTGAGGAAAGGATAGTCATTTCAGAAAATGGTAAAAGAAAAAAAAGAAAGAAAGAAAGAAAATGGTTCCAGGACAATGCTCTATGCACTTGGAAAAAAAAAAAATAAATGACTGCTACTTCAAACAACACCAAAAAGTAACTTTAAATGGGTCATCAACCTAAATGGAAAAGCCAAAACTATAAAATTCTAGAAGGGGGGAAAATGGGGTAAACAAAAATTTTTTAGAACACACAGAAATGTGATCAAAAAACAAAGAAAGATAAATAACTTCTGCATTTTGACGAACACAGTTAAGGAAATGAAAAGACAAATTACTGAACTGGAGAAAATATTTGTTATATACATTTCTGACAGATAACTTGAATCCAGAAAACTTAAACAAGTCTTACAATGAAATGATGATATTACAAGTACACCAAATAATAAAAATTGGGCAAAAAATTTCATTACAGAAGAAGACACAGAAATGCACAACATTTTTAGCCATCAGGAAAATGCAAATTAGAATCATCACACACAAAAGAATCACAACAGTATGACAGGCTCACTAGAATGGCTAAAATTTAAGAAATTAACAATATCAAGTGCTGGTAAGGATGTGAAACAACTGAAACATTTAAACATTGATTATGGGAATGTGAAATGGTACAAACACTCTGGAAAACAGGATTTTCTCATAAAATTAAAGAAACCTACTATATGACCCAGCAATTCCAATTCTAGGTATTCATCTACAAGAAATGAAAACAAAGGTCCACACAAAAACCTGTACATGAATGTTCACAGCAATATTTTTGTATAGTCAAAAACTGGAATAAACCTAAATGTCTAACATCATGTGACTGGATATATACATTATAGTACATAATATTTCACTGTATAGAACATTACTCAGCAATAATAACAAAGAACAGACTACTGACAGCACAACGACATGCATGAATTCAAAAAACATGCTAAATGAGCAAGTTACATTCATGATTTTATTTGTGATATACTGGAAACGGAAAATTTAATCTGTAATGACAGAAAGCAGATCAGTCGTTGCCTGGGCATGGGACACTAAGGAGCACTGGAAGGGATAGATGTTCTAAGTCTTGACTGTGGTGGTTACACACTTGTAGTCAAAACTCAAACTACACACAAATGAGTGTAGTTTACTGTATATAAATTAAAGCTTCATGAGAAATTTGTTGTAAAATTTTTCACAAGAAAATGGAGAAAAACACAATTTCATATTATTTAAAAAATAACAATGTACATCAGTGTTAAATACTTCTGCAGAGTTCATCAATGTACTTTTAACCTGTAATTTTGACAGGCTTGCTAAAATAAGAAGCATTCAGTAAGTAATAGCCAGTGACTGCCTCTCTTGTTTTTACTCCTGTTATATATATATATTGTGCATGACTACTGCTTGAAAGTAAAGAATTAAACGAAGTTTAATATTATTACAGAACCATGCATTTAGAAGTCAAGCATATTCTTACATTTCAGTCCTTTGTCTTGGAGACCAAAATACTGACCTCTCTCATTCTCATTCTCTCAAACTGAAAATTAAAAATAAATAAGGGCCAAAAAGAGCATGCCATCTTCTTATAGATTATAAAATGTTGATTCCCTTCTAAACTTTTTCATTTATATATGATTTATCCTCCAATGAAGACACCACAAATCAGTATCTTACAGTGTTTTTCAATCACACTTTCCTTGCCATATACTTATTAAAACAATAAGCAACATTACTCACTTCAATTGTCTTGGCCAGTAACTGTGTGTGAGGAAAATTATACTTGTATACTTCATTAGCGACAGTGTTCACATCAATGGCAGCCACCACTCGTGCAGGTATACAGCTTTCTGTAATGATAAGTGGAATACCTTAAAATGTGAAGTCCTTAATATCAACTTGATCACTTTACAGAAAAGTCAAAATCCAGAATTTTGTAGTACACTTCCTCACTTCCTCAATTATCTAGCTAGATCTCAGATTTCCAATGGACAACCAGGCCAGGGAGTTAGGCATGAAATGGAATATTTGCATATTTCTGGTTCATCTCTCTAAATAGCATTCTGATGCTAAAATAAGATTTAAATGTTTTAGTCATTATCTCTTGCATTTGCCTTCCTCACTCCATTAAGATGTACACTTATGATTTAAATAGAAAGTTTCCTAAGTTAAAACAAACCAAAAATAGAAAAGGGAAGTATCTTTTTAAAAACCATATCACTTGGGCCCGGTGATGGGTATTAAAGAGGGCACATTCTGCGTGGAGCACTGGGTGTTATGCACAAACAATGAATCATGGAACACTACATCAAAAACTAATGATGTAATGTATGGTGATTAACATAACAATAAAAAATTATTTTAAAAAAAAAAACCATATCACTTGGAACTCTACATAAATAAATTAACTACCATTTGCTCTTCACCTTCTAACATTAATACAAAGCTGCTTCCCAATATCACCAAAAATGCTTTCACATAAATTTTGGAAGGTTTTTAACAACAGTTTTATTGAGATATAATTCACATACCACAAAATTCACTTGTTTAAGGTTTAGGTAAGTTTTTAACTGAAATGAACAATTAATTGGTATCCAAATATAAAAACTACATAGACTAAAAATTAAAAATCTTAACAGACCAGCACAGAAAGGAGTAAGGGAAATAATTTCAAGAGCATGCCTTCACTGCCCTTCTCTCTTGCTGCTAAAAAAAAAAATAATTTTGGGGGCACCTGGGTGGCTCAGTCATTAAGCGTCTGCCTTCAGCTCAGGTCATGATCCCAGGGTCCTGGGATCGAGTTCCCACATTGGGCTCTCTGTTCAGCAGGTAACCTGCTTCTCCCTCCGCCTGCCGCTCCCCCTGCCTGTGCTCTCTCTTTCTCTCTCTCTCTCTGTCAAATAAATAAATAAAGTCTTAAAAAAAAAAAAAGAATTTAGCTATAAGGAGCTAGGGCTCATGTAGCAGGCACCAGAACTAAAACTCAGATCTCAGAAGATGGGGTAAAGAGGAAGGCTCACACACACACTCAGAAAATAATCACAACCATACACTGAGGCCTAAAAGAGATGATGTCCAAGACAAAACAAGGGCATAAATATCTCTAAGTAAATATTTGCTGAATGTCTACTAGGCTCAAGACACTCAGCCAGAACCAGTTATCTCCTAGGTACCCTGCTGCCTTGTATGCAGGTCACTGGAAACTCTGAGGTCCAGTTAGTAATATCATAGGTCGCTGCCTCCAACTGAGTTTAGAATCAATAACTAGTTATTTGCCTTAGTATAAAGTTATAAATAATACCTTTGTCAAAGGTATCAGAGAAATCTTGAAACATAAATCAAGAAGGCTTTTAAACAAATAAAAAAATTAGTACATAAGGATTATTTTGCAAAATATCAAACCTGTTATAATTCGGATCAAGAACTAAGTTACTACTAAGCATTGTATGAGAGCTCAGAATTACATAAACTTCATTGAATTATTTTACTGTTTTGTTAAATAAGATATCTTGTCATTAGCATGATGAAAACTGCTTGCATTTCCACTATATATGCAGCAATCTGGGACTGCCTGGAGTTGGTTAATATGACTTTTCTCTTTTTTCAGGCTGACTGACAATACACAGTGATGTGCCGAATCTGTACCACAATCAACAATTAATTTTATGTTCTTGTATTTTGTGCCTGAAAGACATAAAAACTTACATAAAGCAACTGCCGAGTAAATGTTTTACGTGGCTATCCAAGAACCGATGAACCAAAAATTCTTTCTCAGAAAACAACAAATTTTAAGTCAGTAAGCAAAAGCACTGTTGTTTATTGCATTATTTTAGAGTGTTATTAAATTAGGATCCAGTGCATGGCCTAAAAAGTTATTTCTGTGATGAGAAATGAATGTACTAAGATATTACTGACAATAATTCAACTTGCCTTTTCAAAACAGAATTGTTCTGGTGTACGGATGTGTTTCTAAGGAAAAAGTTAGATTTATAAATGACCGTTTTAAAAAAGTGAATCTGGTTGTATGTAAGTGATGAGTCACTGAATTCTACTCCAGAAACCAATATTGTACTGTATGTTAACTGACGAAAATTTAAATAAAATGAATAAATAAGTAAATAAGCAAAACTGTCAATTCTGTTGAAATCTGAAATTGAGATCCAAAGACAAGTTGTCTTGATATTTTCTACTGTATACTTCAAATCTATAGCCTCCAAACTCTGTCAAGCCATGTACACATATTTTGAAAATGTTTAACTAAAAATACCAACTCAATAGAATTTTGCATAAGTGAGCTCTATTACTTAAATCATGTAAGAGAGGTAATTCTCGCAGGGGAGAGGGAACCCATCAGGATCTTTTAGTAGCATGGAGGGTAGGGATGTGTTTTCAGCACTATGATCTACTGCTCTCCCTGGATGTTATTCGTATTTCAGTTATTACTCTCATTGCATATTTATCAACAGGAAGCGTGGGTATAAAAGGTACAACACTCTAGTTAGAGAAATGCATATAAATGATGTTAAAAGATTGTCAGATTGGATCTACAAGGAAAAGACAAGGGGTATTATGCTCCTGTTTACATGAGGACTGAATTTAAAAAGGCAGAGTTAGTTATACCAAGAGAGACCTTCTAGGGAGATGCAAGAAATGTCACCAGCAATACATGCATAATTCCTGCTCTCATGTATGTCTCTTATTGAAGTAGGCAAGAATCAAACACACACACACATACCACATTTGAATAGCAATAATTTTCCTTCTTTTTCTGATCATTCTTTCTGGAAAAGTTGTAGGGAAGAACTTCTGGTTGGTAGTAGTGAAAGGGTACAAGTTTACACTCTTATCTGCCTTTCCTAACCAAATAAATCAGAAGGTTTAATTGTGCATAGTTATTAAGGTGGGGAAAAATTCAATTTTTAAAAATGTAAATATAAAATTAACCAACCCATTTTGAAATAAGGAAAGTAGCTTATTTTTTTCCTTCTTTTTCTTCTTTATCATTTATTTCCTGATTTGTATCTCAGATAGGTGAGTAATTACTTGAATGAGCTCATTATGATCATACCTGAGATACCTAATCAGGTATGTTAACACTGACATCTAGTTGTGAAATGGAAGATCAGTGGAACATAACCCATGTCTCTTTTCCTTCATTCAAAATGACAGCTTAAGAATAAAAGTACTAAGCAAAAGCAGATCTGAAAGGATTCTGAATTTAAAATGATTGCTAAATGTTTTATCCCTATTGGCAAAGTATATTTCTTATTTCTCTTTAAAGATTCTTGCTTTTCAAAATTTGCAAATAAATTATTTCTCTGAATTAAATAAAATTTAAAATAAGTTTAAAAATTCACCCAATTTCCTTAGAAAATCTCCTTAGAAGTTTAGCTAACAGTAAACAACAAAAAACTTACTTTGGGTCAAGACATACACTAGATCGTTGCTTCTAAGATCTAAATAAATACAAGGGCCCATCAATCAGAGAGTGGACAGGAACCGCTTGAGATATGTGTACAGACCAGAGCTGGGGAAGTGGCACCAGAGAAAAAGGTATCAAATTAATGTTTAAAAAGGAGCACACTGAATTTACATGCAAAAGAAAATAAAGATCCTATGCCAGATAATACAATGCAATTTGGAGAAGAGGAGGATTGTCTCCTCCATTTTGAGGAGGACATTGAGAAAGAACAAAGGTATAAGAAAGAAGAAGAACATGATAGTTTGCGCTTTCTGGCCTTTTTACTATGGTTTGTTTCTACTATTGGTTTCTACTATTGGAAAAGAAACGTAATGGCTGGCACTCTAATCACCATGTTAGTCCATGAAGAGAAGGGCCACTTTACAGAGCTGGCGAAGCAAAGAACTGGAAGGAGTTGAGGTCCTGAAGGATTTCATGGAGTCACCATAGCAGCCCTAGATTACTATGTCTAGACTCACTTTTTTTTTTTTTTTAAGATTTATTTATTTATTTGAGAGAGAGAGAGAGGGAGAGGATCTCAAGCAGACTCACTGCTGAGCACAGAGCCCTACACGGGGCTCGATCTCAAGACC